CCCCGTGTTCCCCGTGTTCCCCCATGTTCCCCGTGTTCCCCGTGTTCCCCATGTTTCCCCATGTTCCCCGTGTTTCCCCATGTTCCCTATGTTCCCCATGTTCCCTGTGCAGCCGGGTCGGCCCGTCTGCCACTCCGTGTGTCTGAAGTGTCGCCAGCCCAGTGAGCTCGGCAGCAGCTGCTTGACCTGCGGCAGCAGCGAGTCTCTGGCGCCCCCCCCAGGCGCCCTGACCCAGCCCGCCCCGTCCTCCCCCACCCCGCGCCCCGCCATCCGGTCCCAGAACCCCGCCGGACCCGTCGGGATCCAGCAGAACTTCTACAAACCCGGCGCCGCCATGCCGGTGCGCGTCTCGGCCAGCAGGGTGGCGCCGCTGAGCAACGGCAGGATCCCGGTGCTAGCTGGGACGTCGGGCTGCTGCAGAGCCAAAGGGAAGCGAGCGGCAGCGGCGGCGGCGGGGCAGCAGCCGGAGCTCAACGACCCCAGTGAGCCACGGAAATCACCATCCGGGAAGCTCGCGGTTTTCCGATGTCGCCAGGCTGACCTGCATTCTTCTTCTGTAGTCGTCCTGTCCAGCGACGAGGAGGAGGCGGAGACGGGCAGCACTGGAAGCGTGAACCGATTGGACAACGTCTCGCCTCGACCTGCTGACTCCGCCCACTCCTCTCCGGCGCCCTCCGGAGGCCGAGTGGAGGCGGCGGTGAAGAGCGCCGCCGAGCAGGAGGAGCTGAACGCCGACTTCTTCGAGGACGTCAACACGAAGATCACGATCCCACGCCGAGCCCGCATGAAGGACCAGGTGAGACCGGGAGTTTACTGGGAAAATCCCCGGGAGCTCACTGGGAATCACACCTTCTCTTCTTCTGTTTCCCAGTTTGGGAATCAGCCTCCAGCTGAGTTGCTGACGCCGAGGAGGAAGAAGCCCAAAATGGCACTCACCAAGTGCGACAGCATCATCCTGGAGTGCCGCAGCGTTCGGATCGGCAGTCTGAGGCGGATGGTGACAAAGCCCGTCATCGTGAGTCCGAACCGTTCCCAGTCCTAGATTCACCACTAGTCTGGAAATTACAGCTCGTTGCTTTTTTTTGTCATACGTTGCTGGGTTTGGTGCTGGTTGCACCAAACCCAGCAACGGTCTCAGGAAAATCTATGAATTTCGGAGCGTCAGAGACACCAGAACCTCAGCAGAACCTCGGGCCGGGCTCCTCCATGCTGCACCACATTCATGCATGGATTCATGAAAAAGGAGCCCAGACCTGAACCGAGTTTACGGAAATGAACAAACCTTTTATGAGTCACACATTTCTGTTAAAATGTCGTTTCTATTGAACCGTTTTAATATTCTGATTACTGCAGCTCAGATCAAAGTGGAGCAGAAAACAATAATTAATTGTTTTTATTTTTTCCAGTTTTCTGTGGACAGCATCCAGGTGGAAGCTGAAGGTAAGGAGCAGCTGTGATTGGCTGCCTGCAGCAGGCAGGCTTCCTGCTGATTGGTTAATACCAGATTATTTAAATCCAGATTAAATCAAGTTGACCTCAAATTAATGTCAGGCTGATCACAGGTTGATTTCAGGTTAATCTCAGGTTGACCTCAGGTTAATCTCAGGTTGACCTCAGGTTAATCTCAGGTTGACTTCAGGTTAATCTCAGGTTGACTTCAGGTTAATCTCAGGTTGATTTCAGGTTAATCTCAGGTTGACTTCAGGTTAATCTCAGGTTGACTTCAGGTTAATCTCAGGTTGATTTCATGTTAATCTCAGGTTGATTTCATGTTAATCTCAGGTTGATTTCAGGTTAATCTCAGGTTGACCTCAGGTTGATTTCAGGTTAATCTCAGGTTGATTTCAGGTTAATCTCAGGTTGAGTTCAGGTTAATCTCAGGTTGATTTCATGTTAATCTCAGGTTGATTTCAGGTTATTTTTGTGTCTTACACACACACACGCAAGCACAACCTATGTGTGCCACGCGTTTTTACATTC